TGGGGGGAAAATGGGGAATTTTGGGGGGAAAATGGGGGGATTTGGGGAAAAATGGGGGATTTGGGGGAGAAGCAGGAAATCTGGAGGGAAAATGGGGGATTTTTGGGAATTTTGGGGAAAAATGGGAGGAGTTTGGGGGAAATGGAAGATTTTGGGGGGAAACGGGGGGATTTGGGGGAAAATGGGGGATTTTGGGGGAAAATGGGGGGATTTTGGGGGAAATGGGGGATTCGAGATCCAGGAGGGGAAATCTGGGATCTGGGAGGGAAATTCAGAATCTGGGAGGGAAATTCTGGGATCTGGGAGGAAGATTTGGGATTTGGGAGGGGAAATCTGGGATCTGGGAGGGAAATTTAGGATCTGGAGTGAAAATCTGGGATCTGGGAAGGGAATTCTGGGATTTGGGAGGGGAAATCCGGGATCTGGGAAGGAAAATCAGAATCTGGAAGAGAAATCTGGGATCTGGGAGGGGAAATTCGGGATCTGGGAGGGAAATTCTGGGATCTGGGAGGAAGATTTGGGATTTGGGAGGGGAAATATGGGATCTGGAAGGGAAATTTAGGATCTGGAAGGGAAATTCTGGGATCTGGAAGAGAAATCCGGGATCCAGGAGAGGAAATTTGGGATCTGGATGGGAAATCTGAGGTGCAAGAGAGGAAATCTGGGATCTGGAGAGGAAATCTGGGATTCGGGAGGGGAAATCTGGGATCTGGATGGGAAATCTGGGATTCGGGAGGGGAATTCCAGGACCCAGGAGGGGAAATTCGGGATCCCCTCCCCTTTCCCAGCAGGGCAGTGCGGGGCTGCGGGATCGGGGATCCGCTGGGGATCCGCCGGGGATCCGCCGGGGATCCGCACCTGGGATCTGCCGTGGGATCTGCCGCGGGATCCGGCGCTCGGGCACGGAGATCCGGTAGCGCCCCGGCGCCGCCGCCGTCACCCGGCGCCGCCGCGGAGCCGCCGGAGCCGCCGCGGGGCCGGAGCCGCCTGCGGGGGACAGGGATCGGGCAGGGATCAGGCAGGGATCCGCTGGGATCCGCAGACCCCTGGTCCTGCCAGGGGGATCCCAGACCCTCCTGATCCCTCTGGGGGGGTCCCAGCCCCTCCCTGATCCCTCTGGATGGGTCCCAGCCCCTCGGGATGGATCCCAGCCCCTCCTGATCCCTCTGGATGGATCCCAGCCCCTCCCTGATCCCTCTGGATCCTCCCTGATCCCTCTGGATGGATCCCAGTCCCTCGGGGTGGATCCCAGCCCCTCCTGATCCTTCTGGATCCTCCCTGATCCCTCTGGGGTGGATCCCAACCCCTCCCCGATCCCTCTGGGGGGATCCCAGCCACTCCCTGATCCCTCGGGATCCTCCGTGATCCCTCTGGATGGATCCCAGCCCCTTGGGATAGATCCCAGACCCTCCTGATCCCTCAGGGTGGATCCCAACCCCTCCTGATCCCTCTGGATCCTCCCTGATCCCTCGGGATGGATCCCAGCCCCTCGGGGTGGATCCCAACCCCTCTGGGCGGATCCCAGCCCCTCCCTGATCCCTCTGGATTCTCTCTGATCCCTCTGGATGGATCCCAGACCCTCCTGATCCCTCTGGGGGATCCCAACCCCTCCCTGACCCCTCTGGATTCTCCCTGATCCCTCTGGATGGATCCCAGCCCCTCGGGATGGATCCCAGCCCCTCCTGATCCCTCGGGGTTGATCCCAACCCCTCCTGATCCCTCTGGATTCTCCCTGATCCCTCTGGATGGATCCCAGCCCCTCGAGGTGGATCCCAGCCCCTCAGGGTGGATCCCAGCCCCTCGGGGTGGATCCCAGCCCCTCGGGGTGGATCCCAACCCCTCTGGATCCCCCGATCCCCACCCCCTGGCCTCCCCCAGGCTCTCCAGCCCTACAGTGGATCCCTGAGGGATCCTGGGATCTCCTGGGCAGGAAAATCCCCGGCTGGGGGTCCCATTTGGGGATCCCGGCCCCACATTGGATTCCTGGGGGATCCCAGGATCTTTCAAGCCGGGAAAAACCCCGACTGGGGATCCCGGCTCCCCAGCGGATCCCTGAGAGATCCCAGGATCTTCTGGGCGGGGGGAAGCCCCGTTTGGGGGGATCCGGTGTGGGGATCCGGTGCGGGGATCCGCTCCCGGCCTTACCGGCGCCGTTGGGGACGGTGACGCAGATCCCGGCGCCGGGGGGGCGCCGGGGGGCGGGATCCCGGCTCAGGCTCTTGGTGATCATCCTGCCCGCCGCCCCGACAGGATCCCGGGGATCCCGGGGATCCCGGTGATCCTGGCGCTCCCGATCCCCGGGATCCCGGCAATCCCAATCCCCAGGATCCCGGCGATCCCAATCCCCGGGATCCTGGCACTCCCGATCCCCGTGATCCTGGCGATCCCGATCCTGGTGATCCCAATCCCGGTGATCCCGGCGCTCCCGCTCCCGGTGATCCTGGCGCTCCCGCTCCCGGCGATCCAGCGGATCCCGCCGGGATCCGGCGGCCGCCCGGGGCCGCAGCGCCTCCGAGGCCGCCCGGCACATCTCCTGCGGGGAGCCCGGGCACACGGCGGGGTCGGGGCCGGCCCGGATCCCTCAGTGGATCCCGGCGGATCCCGGGGGATCCCGGGGATCCCGTACCTGCCGGTGCACCAGGCGGGCGTGGCGCAGGATGGCGATGACGTCGCCCACGGCCGTCACGCCCAGGTCCTTCATCAGCTCCTTGGTCAGCTCCAGCAGCATGTCCTTGTGGATCCTGCGAGAGAGGGATCCACTGGGATCAATGAGGGATCAACTGAGGGATCCGGTGTGGGATCCAAGCCCCGTGACCCCTGCCAGGTCCTTGTGGATCCCGCAGGAGAGGGATCCACTGAGGGATCCACTGAGGGATCCACTGAGGGATCCGCTGAGGGATCCAATGTGGGATCCCACCTGGTGATCCCCGCCAGGTCCTTGTGGATCCTGCGGGAGAGGGATCCACTGAGGGATCCGCTGAGGGATCCAATGTGGGATCCCACCCCCGTGACCCCTGCCAGATCCTTGTGGATCCTGCGGCAGAGGGATCCGCTGGGATCAGCTGGGATCCAGTGAGGGATCCAATGTGGGATCCAACCCCTGTGACCCCTGCCAGGTCCTTGTGGATCCTGCAGGAGAGGGATCCACTGGGATAATCTGGGATCTGGTGAGGGATCCAACCCCCGTGACCCCCGACAGGTCCTTGTGGATCCTGGGGGAAGAGGGATCCGCTGGGATCCACTGAGGGACCAACTGAGGGATCAGGTGAGGGATTCAACCCCCGTGACCCCTGCCAGGTCCTTGTGGATCCTGCGGGAAGAGGGATCCGCTGGGATCAACTGGGATCAACTGAGGGATCTGGTGAGGGATTCAACCCCCGTGACCCCTGCCAGGTCCTTGTGGATCCTGCGGCAGAGGGATCCACTGGGATCAACTGAGGGATCTGGCGAGGGATCCAGTGTGGGATCCAACCCCCGTGACCCCCGACAGGTCCTTGTGGATCCTGCGGGAGAGGGATCCACTGAGGGATCTGCTGAGGGATCCACCCTGGTGACCCCTGCCAGGTCCTTGTGGATCCTGCGGGGAGAGGGATCAACTGAGGGATCCAATGTGGGATCCAACCCCCGTGACCCCTGCCAGGTCCTTGTGGATCCTGCGGGAGAGGGATCCGCTGAGGGATCTGCTGAGGGATCCACCCTGATGACCCCCACCAGGTCCTTGTGGATCCTGGGGGAAGAGGGATCCGCTGGGATCCACTGAGGGATCAACTGATGGATCTGGTGAGGGATTCAACCCCCGTGACCCCCGACAGGTCCTTGTGGATCCCGCGGGAGAGGGATCCACCGAGATCTGCTGAGGGATCCCAAATCCCCGGATCCCAAATCCCAGGGGTCTCTCCCCATTTTTGGGATCTCTAGCCCCAATTTTGGGTCTCTCCCAATTTTTGGGTTTTCTCTTCCCATTTTTGGGTCTCTCACCCCAATTTTGGGTTTTTCACCCCATTTTTGGGGTTCTCTCCCCGATTTCAGGGTCCCTCAGCCCAATTTTTCGGATCTCTCAGCCCATTTTTGGGTATCTCACCCCATTTTCGGGTTTTTCACCCCATTTTTGGGGTTCTCTCCCCGATTTCGGGGTCCCTCAGCTCAATTTTGGGTTTCCTATCCCATTTTTGGGTCTCTCACCCCATTTTTGGGGTTCTCTCCCCGATTTTGGGTTTCCTATCCCCATGTTTGGGTCTCTCTCCCTGATTTTGGGTTTTTCACCCCATTTTTGGGGTTCTCTCCCCGATTTCGGGGTCCCTCAGCCCAATTTTGGATTTCCTATCCCCATTTTTGGGTATCTCACCCCATTTTCGGGTTTTTCACCCCATTTTTGGGGTTCTCTCCCCATTTTTGGGTCTCTCTCCCCGATTTCAGGTTTTTCACCCCATTTTTGGGTCTCTCTCCTCGATTTTGGGGTCCCTCAGCCCAATTTTTGGGATCTCTCACCCCATTTTTGGGTCTCTCTCCCCATTTTCGGGTTTTTCACCCCATTTTTGGGGTTCTCTCCCCGATTTTGGTTTTCCTATCCCCATTTTGGGTCTCTCAGCCCAATTTTTGGGATCTCTCACCCCATTTTGGGTCTCTCTCCCCATTTTTGGGTTTTTCACCCCATTTTTGGGGTTCTCTCCCCGATTTTGGGTCTCTCAGCCCAGTTTTTGGGGTTCTCTCCCCTATTTTGGTTTTCCTATCCCCATTTTTGGGTTTTTCACCCCATTTTTGGGTTTTTCACCCCAATTTTGGGGTCCCACCTGTTGTCCACGAAGGCCACGGCGTAGCCCAGGGCGGGGCCCGGG